AGCTGGAGACTAAAGAGTGACGCACATAGCTGGGAGACCTGGGGACACTAAAGAGTGACGCACACAGCTGGAGACCAGGGGACACGAGAGCACATAGCTGGAGACCAGGGGACACTAAAGAGTGACGCACACAGCTGGGAGACCAGGGGGCACTAAAGACTGGCGCACACAGCTGGGAGACCAGGGGACACTAAAGAGTGACGCACACAGCTGGGAGACCAGGGGACACTAAAGAGTGACACACACAACTGGGAGACCTGGGGACACTAAAGAGTGACGCACACAGCTGGGAGACCAGGGGACACTAAAGAGTGACGCACACAGCTGGGAGACCAGGGGACACTAAAGAGTGACGCACACAACTGGAGACCAGGGGACACTAAAGAGTGACGCACACAGCTGGGAGACCAGGGGAAACTAAAGAGTGACGCACACAGCTGGGAGACCAGGGGACAGTAAAGAGTGACGCACACAACTGGAGACTGTGCAGCGCGTCGCTCCTGATGGAAATGTCTTGGGCCGCTTGTAGCTGTTGGCTAACGTATTAAGGCACGAAAAAAGAGCGGAAACTTTCAGCAGAAAAAGCCGCCAGTCGCTCAGAGTACTGTCAGAAAAAAAGGGTCCAAAATGTGAATAAAAGTCACTTTCAACAGCTGGTGGCATTAGGTTGTTGTAACTTGAAGACTTAGTAGCAAAAAGAGAAGAAAATAAAAACGTTTCCACTCGACTGCAGTAAGTCTCCGAGGGTCAAAGGTCAGACAGGAAGTGCCCGGAGCCGGAGGAAGTGTCTCAACTTACACAGAATAAAAACAAACAAAACAAAAGATCCTCGTGTATGCGGTGGAAAAGTTTCTAGGAGTTGGCGGAGAAACTGCTCCTGCCTGAAGAACGGTCAGTCCATTCTGCAGGGTTCTCGTTCTCGATGGGGTCGATCTGAGGAAAAACCACGAAGCACAACCGCTGGCCCACGTACGTCGCTCTCTCTACAGAAAAACACACAAATACATCAGATTATACACATGTAAGGAAGTACATGTACTCAGAAACTGTACCTGAGTACAATTACTATAAGGCAAAGTTGAATAATCGATTCAAAATGAACAGCAGAAGAAGACAGACAGGAAGTAAACACTAAAGGGAACAACAACTGAAGCCCCTTTCACACCAACGCGGTTCCTGTTCTGTTCCTGTTCTTGCGCTCTTCTGGTTCGGAACCGGTTCTTCTTTTCAGCCCCCGTTTTGTTCACACCGCCCAGAGCCCGACCGGTGCTGCCGCGGCTGCGTCATAACGTCACCGTTTACGTCGCTGATTTTCTCCCCAACGGCGCTCACAACAACAACAACAATAGGGGACTGCGTCAGGTCGATGATCGTGTTGCTTTTAATCAGACGAAGCCAGATTAAATTAAATAACGACTTCTCAACCCTTATGCTTTTCTCCAGAGTGCCGTGGTTCATTGTTTATTAATGTGTTTCAGCGGCATTTACCGACCGCTGCAGAGCTGCCCGCGGTTTGGCATCACAACGCTGTTATGGAAGTTTATCTGGTATAAAATGGGTGATGTTACCATAGCAACCGAAGCTAAACTGACTATCTTGACTACTTGTTGCTATCCTATAAGCCGTTTTCTACAGGCACATTTTACCGGCATATTTTTCATTATGATTCTACTTGTGATAGTCGGACATGTATGCATTCCATCTGATAGCTGCTACAATACAAAACAAAACGTCTGCCTGCTCTCAAATGATCAATGACAGTGAACGGATGGTCAAACTAAGGCACAAATAAACAGAATCACACGCAGCCTGGTTAGTGTTGCCTGACTTTATGAAGTGTTTTTTATAAGTGTGTGGTTGCGTTCTAGTCACTTTGCTCAGGGCTACTGCTTGTTACAACTTTTATTTGCCGTACTCGCCTTTAACTCTTAGCTCAGGTTAATCTCGCCCCCTTCCGACGTAAGCGTGACACATGCAGTTCTTGCTTCTAGGCCAAATTCTTTTTGGAGCTTGGTAAGAACCGGTTTTCGGGGAAAAGAGGCCGGCGCTTATCATCAGGCTCTAGCTCCGAACCGGCCCTGGAACCGCGTTGGTGTGAAAGGGGCAGAACTGTCCAACTAACCAGTGGGACGGACTACCTTTTCTTAACAAATGTAAATAAGGAAAATCATTTTAATCATTCAATTTAATAATTAAAAATCCATTCCTTTCACAATTAATGTAATATCCTGCTTTATATGTTGTTACTGTAAATTTGAATTTCCACGTGTATATTTTTTTACTTTTTAATGCTATTTTATTTCTATTTCAGAAATATTTTTGGATTGTTTATTTCTAGTGTTTTTCTCTTATGTGCATTGGCTTGTCTTCTTATTCTGCTGCAGCGCAAACATTTCCCAATTTGGGATCAATAAAGTACTAATCTATCTATCTATCTATTTTGGATCAATAAGCGTTTCAAGTCATTGATTTATTTAGTATGTAGCCGTGTGATAATGTGCTGCGAGGAGGTCATATAAAACTCACCGATGAATTTGTAGATGCACTTTGGTTTCTCTTTCCAGTGGACTCCCAGGAAGTAGACGGGCACGCCGGTGAGCATGATGACGAGACCCACGCCGCACACCACGGGCTCCGAGTACAGACTGAAGCCCAGCAGCAGAACCCAGAACAGCAGGTAGCTGAGCGGCACCAGCAGGCTCACCTGGGGGACATTCATGGGATTAAACAGAACTTTGTAGAAGCCTAACGTGTGGGTTACTCATTTAGTTTCCAAAAAGATTTGTGTAGGCCGACCCGGAGGGAAGCTGCTGGTTCTCTCGACAAAAAGCAACAGGATGTCTCCATTTGGAATATTGTAAAAAATAAGGTCTGTGGAAAACGAACCTGTTTGATAAATGCTTTGTTCAGCCGGATAATCTCCACATGTCTACTTTTATAATGTTCTAATCATAAATCTAATGTCCAGAAGCTAAATGCTAACGTTATGCTATAACGGAACTACAGGCGAGTCCAGCAGCACGACTTCAACGTCACGCCAACTTCAGATCCATATTCAAACACACAGATTCTAGATGGAACGAGTTGAAGCGTTTGTTTGAACAGTCTGCAGGAGGCAGGGACTTGCTTTCAAGCAGAACAGAAACTAACTTAGAGGAGTGTTTACGTGTTCGGCGTAATGACGTACAACGTCCTCCACGACTTCTGTAGTCCTATTCAGCCACTTGGTAACAACCATCGTTTCTCAGACACGTCCACTCTTCAGAGATCACCAGTGGGGTCACTGCTGATGATTTAATGTAGAACAAAACGTGATCCGTCTCTTCAATGTGTCTCAACCACAGACCTTAGTTCAGATATTTTCCTAAATCCTACGGAGAGATCCCATTGGCTCTGAGACGAGGAAACAGGAAGTGGTGAAACGCTGACTCACTTCCTGGTTTTAGGACTCATCGCCGCACCACTCTATTTCTGTGGCCAACAGCTCTCTACATAAGGTATCAGCGGAGAAAAGTGGAGACCTTGAATGGATATAGTGAAGCGCTGCGGTACCTTGATGGGTCGGTACAGGTTGGGTTTCTTCCAGCGGTGATACAGCAGGCCTGCGATGGTGACTCCGTACGACAGGTAGTTGATGAAAGACACGTAGTTTATCAGGTTGTGAGTCTCTCCGATGCACAGGATCACTATGGTGGCAGCACACTGAAAATATATGAAATATATTTAAGATAAGACTTTCTTTGTTGAAAGTGTTGTTGAATGTTTAATAAATTAATTTAAGATTGAGTGCCTTCTATTCTTTTA